ATAACTGAAGCTTGAACTTGGCTAGTACTCTTTTCGTTCCATTTTATTTATTTTTTTTTGGGGGGTAATCGGATATTAATAAGTGAATAATGATTAATTAACCAACGAATCATTTTTACTATTCAAATTTTGATGCCAAAACTGGGCTTCATGTGCATAAGACATTTCATCGGGTAAATTATTGTATCAACGCATTCCTTGGATACGACCTCCATTTTTACAAAACTAGCATGTATGGCGAAGTAGTAAGTACAATTATAGTATAATCTCAATTACCAAGGTATTCATGTAGTTAAATAAACTATAATTTTAATCATAGATGTATAGTACAAAGTTTAAGACATACTATTGAGGTGTACCAAAATGCCAATACAAGAAAACTATATCAAGCTCAACAGTAACATTTTTGTAGTAGTAACTTGGGAACAAGCATCCATTTATCAAGCTTTAGAGAGAGAGAGAGAGAGAGAGATTATTATATGCTCACTTTCACCTATATGTAGCATGGAGAAAGGCTTTATTTCATAGTTTTTTAGAACATAGTCATTGATCAAATTGGTAAAAGAAAGCGAAGCCAGTAAAATACCTTCAGAAGATCAAAAACCTTTTCACATATATACTTTTGATGAACACTTGCACCACATTGTTGTAATTTGTCAGGGTGAATACATAGAGTGGCTTTCCTATAAGCTTTCTTAACAGCCGCAGAAGTTATAACTTCAGCCAAGGGAATTCGCTGCCAACCACTATCAGGCCCAAGGATCTGTGGATGATGAAAATGTAATTTAGAGCACAAGTAAATGGAAAATTACAGAAAAAGGAATCAGTCAGTGTAACCAAGCAAGGATGAGGATCAATATTGTAATACTGAACTATGTCGATCTCGATCATCTATTGAACTACACATATGAACGAGGAAGAGAAATGAAAGACTCTGACTGCATCTATTAACAGATAATAATTGATATATTGATGCAGAATATGGACCTTAGTCAGGCCACATCTCCATGTATTAGTTTTCAAGGGCAGGATATTCAAAAAATATTCTGTGCCAGCAGCAAAATCCTCACTCTGGCCAATAGTTCAATGCAGATGAAGTAGCATGAGAAAGAGTAATTTCATTTCGTTCTATGCCTTCTTCATACTAACATACACTACAAGAAATTACAGCTTTGGCGACTAATTTTGCCGACTAAACTCAATTTAGTCGCCAAAGGTGTATACATTTGCTACTAAAAATTTTTTGGCCGCCAATGGTACACACGTTAGCTACCAAACATTATTTGGTCGCCAAATAAAGACGTATTAGCTACCAACAAGTCAAGTTGGGGTTGGTTTTGAACTCGAGATAGGACCCAATTTTACGCGGGCTTAATGTACAATATTTGACTTGGGCTTAGGCTTGGGCTCGGGTTAAATAGGGTGAACATGGGCCTGATGGCCCATTCAATCTTTCCAATACAGTCCAATATTGTTAGGATTTAAAAAAAATATTTAATCTATAAAATCGGACTAAATTGAATTTTTTTATTTATTTAGGAATGGTTTGTGATGATCTAAATAACTGCACTTCTATAAAATATGGGTTGTGTTTGAAGTGATGTGACTTAAATAAGATGATGTGACTTAGGGGTGATTTGGGATGATCTAAATAAGTGTACTTTTTAACTTTTTACGAAAAGATGTGCAGAAAAATAGAGAGATGATGTGATGAAAAAAAGATAAAAAGATAAAAAGTGTGTACTTATTAGTACACCCCAAATAAGGCTTTAAATAGGAAAGTGACTTTTTGACTCTTTAACTTTTTAAAATTATGACAAATAAAGCCTAATATTTAAACTAGACTTGGAGTAAGGAGTTTTAACTCAACCCGTCTTGACCAGTCATTTATAATAAAAATAAAAATATTGAATCATTTGTTAAAGGAAGAATTACATTACGGTGTAAACAAATTTTTTTTTACACAAACATGAAAGATTGCATGAATGATTATTCGGTAGTTTTAAAATATGGTCATGTAGTGCTCCATGGTAATATGATCGGTGGAGAAAGTGGAGTATTAATTATTTGTGTTGGGTGATTGAGGAACATGAGAGACATAATAAATGGTGATTGGTGAGGGAGCATACCATGTGATATTCTGGAATTATTATGAGTGCTGCTATTAACACTCTATCAATTATTTTAGATCCTCTATTTTTTTGTTTTTGTTTTTTTTATTACAATAATAACCTCAAATGAAATTACTCAAAAGGATATCAATAATTTTGGAACATTCCATCTCACAATTAAGTCCACACACCTACTACATCATGAGATAGAGTTTATGAAAGTGATCACCTCCATCACCACTCATCTATCTTTCTCAAATCTCACTTTCAAAACCTACCTACCCTTAAAACCTTGAAACCCTTTGATGGCAATATTCCAGTAGCAACCATTCGATTACATACACTTCTTCGACAATGACAATGAATAGAAGTTTTTTCGACAATTACAACTCTATGAGACGAGAGGAATGCAACAATATAAGCTCATAGTGGAAGTTCATAACTTTGATGGTGTTATTAGCTAAGAGGATATTGATCTTGTAAAAGTAAGTTTCTTAAAAAACATGACAAAAACAATAAAAATTGTTTGTCATTTTTTTTAAATCTGAACTCCCGAACATATGACTAAAATTAAAAAACATAGGGCCAAATATTGTTTATTTGTTCAGGAACAGATAACCGAACATTATTTTCTCACTGTAAGGTCATGAACAAATATATTGAGATGAAGTAGTAATCATCTAATAGAAGTATATAACTTTAAATTGACAACTGAGAGGGTAATTTTTGGTGAAAATCGGGCCGAGCTATGAGATGGACTTTATGGCCCAAAGTACGAGGGACTGGGTAAAAAGGGCCGAGAAGTTACTCCGGCCCAAGAGAGATAAAGATTACTCCGGTCAAAAGAGATGAAGTTACTTCGGCTCAGGAATTGTAAAACTACTTTGGTTTGGACAACTTGGAGTTAGTCCGGTCTCCGAGTTAGTCCGGTCATGACGTATTCTGGATAGATCAGTCGAGACCTTGCTACTCGGTAGCTCGGTCCCAACATATCATGGTTCATACAAAGGAGAACCGAGATGAGGAGTAAATGGAAGGGCCGAACTAAGGATAGTTCGGCCTACCTTGTGGATCAGCTTAGCCAGTTTACTTCGGTCAAATGGTAGTTCGGCCGCGGTAAAAACCATCCCACTTGGTTTAAGCAGTGGGGGGGGCAGAAAATAATTTTCTTAAAAGAAGAAAGAGAAAAGGAAACAAACGAAAAAATTCTGTAAACAGAATAAATTCGAATCTCTCTTAAGATTGTTGGAACAATCTTCTGTGTAAATAAAATAAATGCAACAATTCAAACAAAATAAAATAAAACTTACAGTATTTATTTTGTAGAACCGAATAAATAATTCAAAGACCAAGTCGAGTGTGTGACACTCTGTCCTTAAGACAGATTCGCCTCGCTACGGTACTTACGGTTGAGTGGCGTCTATCTCCCAGGATACAATAATCTTAACCAATTTGTAGTAGCACTCCAAAACAAATTGTTCGGCAAACCAAACCTGTGTTCTAACTCTCTGAATATTTATTCTAAAACTAAAATGAAGAATAATGCACAAAATAAAAACTGGACAGCAAAGATGGGATTTTGCAGATTGATTTTTCGATCTTTAGATTGCTGGAATCATGTTACACAGCCCCGAACAGGTGCTGTTAGACTGAACAGTTGCAACAAGTGTCAACAAATACTTTCTGAAATTTCAAGCAGATTCATTGCGGTTATAAAACCGAATCTGACCGTTGCATCTTGGAACATTTTTTCAAATTGTTTGAAAATTGTACCGTTGGTGGAACAGTCATAAGGAACTGTTGGGGTATAAATTATTATTAAACTATTTGAATAGTTTAATCAAAAATGCTAAAGGTGGAAAAGTATCAAAAAACTGTTTGGAAATTATATATTAAACTATTTGAATAGTTTAATTAATAAATGAAGAAGTACAAACTTTAGGAAACCAGGAACCCAAAAGTTGAATTTAGATATAAATTAAAATCCCATAATAATTTTTATTGAAAAAATTCAAATGAATTTTATCTAAAAAATAATGTTAGACCTGAAAACGACGTCAACTTCACATTCACTCAAAAATGGTTTTGACGTTCCGTCTTCACCGTGTGACTTGCCACGCGGCAAGGAACACTTCACTTCTTCAGACCCACCCCCAAACACTTCACCTCTTTGGACCCACCCCAAAAGACGTTTGGGGCCCACTCAAAATTGGACTAAAAAATATACCTATATTAAACCATTTTTCCAACACTCACTTGTTTAGACAGAACTGTCTACCATGGAGAAGAGGCAAAAAATTGAAGAATAGTGGAACAATCCAAAACATTCCAAAATAATTGAGAGAGTGTTGAATATTTGTACATAATTACATAAATAGTTCTAGAAGCTTCTAAATACCTCCATTAAATTTTTCACTACACTTTTTTCTGATAATGCAAGATTTACAGTGCATGAAGTAGGTGTAAAAGGATATTAAAATACTACATGAACATAAAAAATTCAAAAATAAACTATTATTACCAATATAAGCCCTAAAAAATTGCACATCTTTCTCTCCATTTTCTTTCTTTTCTCATCAAATCCTTTAATCCGAACGAGCTGTGTCTGTAACCTTGAAAATTCATCAACTTCCTCAACATCACCCTCTTCTCTTTCAAGTACCCCAGGTAGAGCCAAAATGGGATTGCTTGGTTTCCATCTTGGCTTGGGTGGAAAGGAAATGGTGGGCCAAGAGGGAACTCTTCAAATCTTTTCCTTCACCTTTTTCCTTCTTTCCTACCAATGTCAACTAGTAGTGGTTAGTAGTGGTTTTACTTAGCAGATATTTACACGAAACATAAATATTTGTTTTTCATGCTATCAAAATAATCCTCAATAAAATGTACATACCTTGCAATCTGGAGAAAGAAATAATCTCTCGCTCTCTGTGAATATATTAGGAATCACCAACATCAACTTTTTTTACCAAACATCTTGATGGTAACAATCTTCATGTCCAGGAGAATGCCAATGACCAACTATAAATCAATTCCAAACACTTCCAAATGAATGCAAAGTCACTGAAAAAGCAAGTAAAATGCATTATCGCTATGCAACCATTCTCAAAAACCTCTTGATGTTGCCGTAAGTCATTGTGTACATTTTCATGGCACGAGTAATGAAGGTTGTGATGGTTGAAACTAAGAGCTTCTAATGATTCCAGCCCGTGATGGGATGTTTACTTTCCAGAAGATTAACTTGTTCACTTGTGCAAGTAGAGTGGCATCCAATTATAACCAAGACAAGACTCTTTATAGCACAAATTTAAATCTGTACAGCATAGCACTAGAATAATCAACTTAATATAATTTATATGGTATCACTGTAGTTTGTGGTATGTCCGCAGAGCTATAATCAACCTAAAAGCCATGGAAAAATTGCTACACTCTACCACCTTGAACTATAATAATTCAATTTGAAACTAATGTCATTAACGAAAATGAATATTTTACATATTTACCACTATAATAATTCAATTTGAAACTAGTGCTTATTGTTTGAAAACACACTCTCTTACTTGGATAACATAGTTTACAAAGCTCAATGAAATAAATTTACAGGCCCTATGTAAACAATAATTGGCTTTTACTGCCATTCCATAGGGCAGAAGAATCAGATGTCAATTACACTAACATGCATGTATGCACCAGAAGTAATATTCAAAACTGCACTTACTTGACTGGGAGAAAAAAAAAATCCATAGATGTGTTAAAAAGTAGCTTCTAGGTGACAAATCACAAGACTAGTCAATATTTAGATTCAAAAAATATATATATATATATCCAAAAGAAAAATTAAAAAGTTAAATGATAATACAATACAACGTAAATCCAATACTGTACAGTGCTTAGATGACGTTGTTAAAATAAATTCATAAGATTAACAATAATACTAATATAATAGAAGTAAAATCATCGAGGCGCGAAGCCCATTCATCAAATTTTGCCTTAAGCAAGAGTGAGAGTTTCATGTATCCCATTCATCAAATTTTCATGTATCAATCAACAGAACTGATAAACCAAAAAATTAACAATTAAATAGCTCATCTTAGTAAAGCTGTAGGTAAGAAGTACCAATTGATTTCTTGCACAAACTTTTTATTTGTATAAAATGAAAATCTTACCCACACAATGATCACTTACAATCAACGAGTAAGTATTGACATGAAGTAACGCCATGTGGCCATCTGTATGCCTCTGAATAAGGAAAATTTTCTAAAGTTAACATGATGCAGCATGTGATGTCTCAAAATGAAGAACAATAGTACATTCGAAAGTTAAATTACAGATATCCCAAGAAACATAAGGGAATAAGATGACAAAAAGTTATGGAACATACAACTATGATCAAACTGAAAATGACCAAAATCCCTTACGCATTTTGTTAAGAACTTGCGACTTATTAATCCACATATTATGGAAAGTTGACATGAAATTTGGACTAACTAACATTATCAGAGCATCTTTCTGGTCAAGGATTGTTAATTGGCCCAAGCTAGACAAATGCCCACACAAAATACCCAAGTATCAGGCTATGAGCTTAATTGGAGTTTAGGCTAATCTGCGTTTGCTCAAAACTCAATTCCAACATCTAATTTGTGTTAATATCAGGCTTGCTTAGCTTAACATGATAGCCAGATACATGGAATCTGGTACACATATCAGGTGCAGCTATAGAAGAAAGTTTAAAACTATGCTTTTCAAAAGAAGCAATCATGTAAATAAATATTACTGGGGCACAAATGACTCTCAATCTCTAACCACCAATGCAAATCCCTTCTCCTCCTGAAACTGGGCTATGGCCAAGAGACCAATGATCTGTACAACATGTATTCATCATAAGAGCATACATCGTTAATTTGGAAGGAAAAAGACCACACCCTATTAAGAACACCAAGAAGTAAAACACACCCAGTCTTATTTTGGTGCAAATTGATAAATTATGCTCCAATCAAAAATAGTACTTAATTTAATCGCAAGATTTGAGTTGTTATTTTAACAACAGAAAGCATACAATATACCATGTCCATTTAGAACAGACCAGATAATGTTTAATGTTCATGATTTTATAAAGAATACTTCAGTTAAAAATGTTTTAGCAGTTTACTAAACGATATTGTGTTAGTCTAGGCTTGTATTTCCTTTAGTATGCTGTGAAAAGATTTTAGATGTTCACATGGAAACAAAATGCACAATCAATCATAGGTACTAAAAAAGTGTGTTTATCATAACAAGAGGAATGGGCATACTGACTTTAACAGGTACCAGAGGGCACAAAAATTTACCCCAATAGCCACAAGAATTGACAGCTGAACAAACCAAATCTGGCTGCCCCAGACTACCACTAAGATTAAAACCACATAAGGAACAAAGAGCCAGAGATCAAGTTCTGAGCACTTGGTTCTTAACTCAAAACACGTATCTTTTAATTTTGTTTTCACATAAATTTTGCTTCCTTTCTATAAACTCCATCAGAATAATAAATGGGGCATCACCTCCGCGAATGTGCATTCTTTCCTCAGCCATACATTCATCGACTGTGTGCTCACAATATTGTCATAATCCATGAATGACATAACAGAGTGTCAGTGCTGGATTAGGCTGCACAGAATACCATGGCGGAAGGAGAAATGATAAAGAAGACAGTATATGTTGATTCACTGTTCACAGTTTCCCTTAGCACATCTACATTTCTATGGAAAAGTTCACCTCCTGCTGATCCGGTGACAGGCCATCAGTACTTTATCCCAAGCAGCTATCACCATGAAACATGCTTCCTTACATAAAGTCTCAGGTACAAAGATGCCATAAAAAAGGAAGGCTAACAAGACCACCTCCAGTCACGCAGCAATTTATATCTTGAACCCCAGGACAGAAAGTCATAAACATCTCAATATGCTTAGAAATTAGAATCCTTTGGGTAGAGATGTTTCAAACAAAAAAAAAGAAAAGACTGGAATTATTTCAACAGAAGAATGCTAACACATCATACTGAAGATCAGTACTGCCACCCACTAAATTATGAGGCATATTAGTCAGATACCATTTATCCCTAAAATCTGCAGTAAGGGTGTTAATTAAACTACATGGCAAATTTCCAACCCTTAAATCCCACAATTCATTGTTAATTAGGATGACAATTTTGCATCAGCTTATCATTATCTACTGATACAAGGAGCCAAGAATGCTAACACTACTTTTGGATTTTTGAAAGGATTAAAGCACTTGTTAACAATGTGATGCAAGATTAGAACCGCATCTACAAAAGACACTATTTTTGGATCACCCTCACAGAACTCTATTTCTTGTTTTTAATTAAATCGTCAATTTTGTTTCATGTGACAAAGTATTGTGCATATTTTAATGAATACCCCCAACTTCAAAATATATTAGCTATTGTTCTTAAACAGTTCAGTCAAATATCTTAATCGCAACATGACCAAGCAATCTCCAAACACTAGTGTTATAGTCTTCCACATTCACAAACTAACTTCCTAAACCTTACAAAAGTCTTCAGTCTAAGCCCCACCCCAAAAACAATAAATAAATAAACAAAATCTGAAATATATATGTAGACAACAAGGAAAATTAAGATGCCAAGGGAGTTAACTTCTAAAATAAAGAACTATACATGGCCTTGATCAAAATTCTTTCCCAAGACAAAAAATCAAGCAAAGGCCTCAAAGGAATAGGGAGGTTAAACAAAGGAAAATTGTAGGTTGTGTTCTCAAAATATATTTCCACCCTTTGGTTTGCACATGGTATTTGTTTACAGTTTTCAAAAATTAATTCCACACTCACTTTTGAAAACTCTGGCCAAGGCGGGAAAATTTGGGCTAATCAGACGTTCGACCGGTTGTCCGACTGGACATCCGGCCAGTTGACCGAAACAGTGTAATTTTTTTTATTTTTTTATTTTTTTATTTTTTACAATTGCCACCTGTTATTTTTTATATTTTAAATAAAAAAAATTGAAAATTTTTAAAATTTTTTATGAATTTTGAATAGAATTTTGAGTTGTGTGTTTAGTTATGAATTATAAGTTTTTATATTAAATATCATATGTCACATCAAAAATTTCCCACTCAATTCAAATCTCATTCACCAAACAAATTTTTCACATTTAAATCATAATTCCAAAACTCACAAACTTAAAATACAACTCTATTCTCAAATTATATTTAGAAAACTCTATCAAACGCTACCGTAACCTTTTCGAATGCAACCCATGTTGTTCTCATGAGCCAGAATTTTAAAAAATTATTTAAGTTACTCATAAGCTATAAGCAGAATTATTATCAAACAATCTTGACATGGATTCACAACATAAAAATAAAAATAAACCAATGAAACAAGCTATAAGCAACACTAAACACTATAATAACTTAACAGATTGTATAGATCATAACTTTCAATAATATTCAAGAAAAATAAAAGAATTTTTTCAAATAAAAACAACTTCCTACGAGAGCTAAAAGTTGAGAAGCATGCCCTAAACAACTTTTTAATATGAACTTATGTGACATCAAATAAACTGAAATAAACTCAAGTTATTTCATCATAAATTACAAGCAACATATTATTTCTAATTAAACTAAAACTAGAAGTGAAAAGTTACAACTAATAAATTGAAAGAAACAGCTCCTAAATGTGTTCATACAACTGAAGTGAGGGAGGGGGACAAAGTGTATTGTAGTGAGAAACAGGCAATGTGCATTACATAGATACAATATTTAATGGTTATGGATGGCCTACACATATGAAAAGTATACCCAGAATGAAATCTCAGGGCATCCAAGAATTGCCAGTTTACTATCCTTTCCCCACTTTGCTTTTGGTAGATATAAAATGATTATCATTTCATTTCATGTCACAAATGTATGGTTCAAAGTCCATTGATCTTTTCATCCCAACCACTGATCCCTTTGACTCAGGTCCCATCTTGTTATCATAATCCCCATGATCAATAATCTTCTCTTCTTCCTTCTGGGCTTCACTTTCTTCATTTGTAAAATAAAGATGGTTTTTACAAAAATGGATTACAGAATAGAGACAAAAAGTGAGTCCGACTTGTGAAATTCACTATATATGTAGGACCTGCCATTTATCTCACATCTTTGTATCCCAGTGAAAAATTATCTGTCCACTTACTTCTACTCTTTTAAGTGCAAAGAGTGGCAGCAATGTTAAACAACGAAATCTAAAATTGTGCCCATTTCATACGAACTTTTTTTCTGATTGTTTTTGTTGTCATCGTTTTGTTTTTGTTTTTGATTCCTTTTTTGTTTTGTTTTGTTTGCTTTAGTATTTTTAAAAAATGTCAAGTCCCAAAAAAACAAAAGAAAAGTAAAAATCCAAAAAAATTGAGGCCAAACAGGGATCATCATGAAAAAACGAAAGAATCTTTAACTCGATTTAACAAAAATTAATCCAAACTAGTCGTGCAGCTGTACAGAGAAAAAATTTAAAAAAAAATAAATAAATTAAAGTTGCTAGTGAAAATTCAGTAAGGCGCTTAACGCAGTCCTTCAATGCTTGGAGTTCAGCTTCTTTCTCATGGAGTTTAGATTGGGCCCAATGCAGTTCAGACTCTAGCCCTACAATCTGGCTCTCTTGCTGTTCGATGAGCAAATGGACAGTTTCTGATCCAGTTCAGATGGCAACACCTCACTCAATTGACAAGAATCAGAAGTCTGGCCATCTGGTTTGTAAAATCCTTCGAACGAAGCATCTTCATTCTGCACAACACAAATTATGTCTGTATTAAACTGAGAAGCACAGTTGTTTAGAAGCAAATTCATTTGCTAGAAGTACTTTCCTAGTGCAGTAAATAATCAAAGAGCCATAGAAACAAAAGAATCTTGTATGTCAAGGATGAGTATAAAGATATAAATGATGAGTCAATGCTAGTAAAAACAAAAATAAGGACAAAGCACACCTCACAAATGTCTGGTATTTTTCCTTCAAATCCAGAAGCTTCTGTGGAGCACCCAAGAAGCTTTTGCAGTTCAGACTCGAGCTCCGCTTCCAGACGGTCCATCTCCAGCACCTCTTGCTGTGGCTCTTCTGTAAGAAGACTACTTGCACATTCACCTTTTTCAGTTACAAAGACACCAGAATCTTGAACTTTTGTAGTCTCATCCACTGCCGTGTTCAGCCTACTGAGTTTAGTTGCTCTGTCTACTGCAGTGCGCTCTGCCCTGAGCCTGGCCTCTATACATGTCTTCTCCTCCATAGATGTCTTCGGTTCCAATAGATCCTCTTTTTTCCTGTAGAAATTCAATGATACAAATTAGAGAGAGAGAAGAAGAAGAAGGAGGGAGACACTGCCGTGTTCAGCCTACTGAGTTTAGTTGCTCTGTCTACTGCAGTGCGCTCTGTCCTGAGCCTGGCCTCTATACATGTCTCCATAGATGTCTTCGGTTCCAATAGATCCTCTTTTTTCCTGTAGAAATTCAATGAGACAAATTAGAGAGAGAGAAGAAGAAGAAGGAGGGAGAGAGAAATATAGAGAAAATTGAATTTACTTTTTCAACTGCCCTTCCTCCAACAGCCTTAACGCCAAATACGGGGACATTGGCTGCTGATCCTTTTCTTTCTTGCTCTTCCTCCACTGAGGGAAACATTTCTTCTTCCCGTCTTTCTTTTCTAGGTCTTTCTCTCTGTTCTGTTTACTGTTCTGTTTCGCTTTCGTCCCTGCTTTCTTGGCGGATTGAGGCCGTGAGAGGCTCTCATGGTTTTCGAAGGTGGTGGTGGTGGTGGTGGTGGTGCAGGAGAGGAGGGGGAGAATGCCGGAGTACCAAAAGGCCGCAAAAACCTTATTCATCTTTGAGAGAGAGAGAGACTGTGTAATCGTGTGTTCTGAAAGAGAATTAGGTAAAAGGTAGTAGTGGTGTCACCAAAAGGCAACGAACCTATATATGAATGAATGAAGTGGTGCAATATGGAGGGAGAGTGATCAGCGGAGTATCCTAATTTGTTGCTCGAAATTATTGGAGTATCCTAATTTGTTGCTCGAAATTATTGGAGTATCCTAATTTGTTGCTCGAAATTATTGGAGTATCCTAATTTGTTGCTCGAAATTATTGGAGTATCCTAATTTGTTGCTCGAAATTATTGGAGTATCCTAATTTGTTGCTCGAAATTATTGGAGTATCCTAATTTGTTGCTCGAAATTATTGGCTCCAATTTGATTGTTTTCCTTGTTTCATGTTGCTTTTGCCATTCTTCTCCTTTTTCCTTCTGTTTTGGAATCTGTCCAAAGTGGCTGGGTTGCTCTCTTTTCTTGTATGGTTGGTGGAACTTTGATGTATTTTTCCATTATTTTATCATAGGAGATATGTATTTACATAAATATTAAAATATAATGATTAATTCTTGTATTTTTCAATTATAAACTACCCAAATCATCAAGAAAATACACAAAACTGTGGATTTAATCATCAAGAAATCATTTTAAGTCTATTCTTTTCTATCATTTTATCTTCATCTAGATAATTATCGAATAGATTCACACAACTAAGATAATTAATATCACGAAATATGACTAATTTGGATATACTCTTTATCAATTGCTTAATCTTGAGACTACCCTCAAAATATCAATGAACACTTTATAGGATTTTATATATACTGAATATACAGTAATTTTTATTTTTCCTTAGAAAAATCACAATTGAAACAGACAGAGAGCAATAAATATTAAATTATGTACAATTAATAGTGATGGGTTTAATTGATACTGAGAAATCTATATGTGAACAAAAGGAATAGCTAGGAGGAGAAATCTGTTTAATGATTTTTGAAAGGATTTTTCAAAATGGTGTAATTTTGAATCTTGGATTTGTTTATTATTTGAGTGTACCTTGAAAGATAATTTGAGAGAAAAATAAGGTGTATTAAAAGTAAATTATAACTCTAAATAATTTAATAAAGTGTATTAAAATTATTGATTGGTCCTGAGAGGCAATGTGACTATATGTTAAATCAATCACAATTTATCATATTTTTTCATATTCTTCAATCACCCAATACAAATTTATAAATCTCACTTCTATTTAATTTTGATACCCTTATAAATATTTTTTAAACGATTAGCAATTTAATGATGTGAACATTCATATTTTAAAATTCACATTTGTATCAATGTAAATTGGCCCGTGGGCGGCCCGAAACCGGCCCGCGAGCCAGGGCGGGCCTGGCCCGTTGACAATGTGAATATTCACATTGACATGTTAAAATTCACATTAATAGGAGTGTAAAATTGGCCCCCGTCCCGTGGCGGCGCGAAACCTACCCACGGCCCATGGGAGGCCTGGGGCGGGCCCGGTCCGGCCCGTTGACAATGTGAATATTCATATTAACATGTTAACATTCACATTGATAAGAGTATAAAATTGGGTCACGGCCCATGGGCGGCCAAAAGCTCGCCCGCAGCCCGACTCGGCCCGGCCCGGCCCGTTGACAATGTGAATATTCACATTGACATGTTAACATTCACATTGATAAGAGTGTAAAATTAGCCCGCACCTCGTAGCTACCCGAAACCCGCCCACGGCCAGTGGGCGGGCCCGGCCCGGCCTGTTGACAATGTGAATGTTCACATTGACATGTTAACATTCACATTGATAAGAGTATAAAACTAGACAGCAGCCCAGGGCGGGCCCGGTTCGGCTTAGCCCGGCCCATTGACAATGTGAATATTCACATTGACATGTTAGCATTCACATTAATAGGAGTGTAAAATTGGCCCCATCCCATGGCGGCGCGAAACCCGTCCGCGGCCCATGGGCGGCCCGGGGCGGGCCCGGTCCGGCCCGTTGACAATGTGAATATTCACATTGACATATTAACATTCACATTGATAAGAGCATAAAATTGGGCCGCGGCCCATGGGCGGCCAAAAGCCCGCACGCGGCCCTCGCTGCCCAGATGCGCACCGTCACACTTCGAGACCAGCGGCCGTCTTCTGGTCGGTGCCACACTCGTCCGTCTCGAAATTGGTGAATATGCACTACTTGTACATACACGTTTACTTTACATTCTCACTAATATCTTATTGATTATTTAGTTTATTGTTAGATATAATTTTTTGGGTCTTGCCCCAGCAACCAACGAATTGTGGGTCGGTCACGATAGTTATCCATTATCGTATATAAATCCAAAAATAAAATAAGCAAGTACCTCGTAAGAGAACTTCTTAATTTGTACATTGTGCACGACCGCTGATCCGACAATGTGAATATTAATACCAATTAGGACCTTATTACAAGAACCACCGATTATAGATACGTGTTATGAAGAATTTAATTGTTTGACAATCTCTAGCCTCGACGCAAACGACAGTAGGAATGGAGGCAAAGCAAAGAAGTAACCTGCTGGCCCACGGCACTTAGCCGGACAACTCCGCGGGGCGGGCTCTTACTGATCGCAGGCTCCATAAGTTGATCATGATTTGAGGGTAAGAACATCAAGTGTTGATTAAGTGATTACACCCAATTTCATTAACGAGCCGAGGAATGGATAGATATAGGCATCTAAAACTCGTGTACGATAATGTTAGATGAGCAACAATCGCAGCTAGGAACACGATTGTGGTGGGAATCATTAGATCTGGAGAAGCACCATTTGATCACGTACACACCCCAGACGGTCCCTCCTTTCTGGGCTCACGGACGGGCCTTATGTCTTAGTCTTCGGCGGAGATGAGATAAGTTATTATTCACCATCTGACAGAGGTTAACATTCCACATTGATTTTATGTTTATTTTTTAAAATAATATGTTAAGTATAAAAAATTTGGCAACCTCACCTCAGACTAGCCTCTAGATAAAAATAATTCAACCGAATGTGCTGTGTAAATTATTTAAGAAAACCTCGAAGACTCTCTACGATTCTTGACAATCGCACCGATACGTGCCGTGACCTTTATGAGACCTCGAACTCACGATGATAAAATATTGTAAAAATATATTTTTAATATTAATGATTTAAATCATGTTTATATAATTCATTGAAATTGCATTAACATATAAGATATATAGGAAGATGTTATAAATAGCATTGGTCACTCGCTGCCCGAATGAAAAACTCTCCCATCATTTTTTTTTTGCTTGTGTTTTACGGTACAGAGGTAGGAATGAGAAAACAAAAAACGGAGGGAAAATCTCACTATAACCTCCACTCTCGCGGCACCATTGGGCGGCCCCAAGCCCTAATCATTAGCAACAAGTAACCTCTCTTAATTCAGCCGCCTATGCGCGTGGCGTACGAGCTGCCACTATTCAGGATACGCGAGTCCAATTTTTACAGAGCTCTTTATGCATTAGATGTGAAGCATCCTCGTTAGTTATGTTGAGGACTAAATGAATAAATGTCATACAATTAGGAAACTGCCCTAGCGTTTCCCCGATACATTGAACCGCCGGTCCCACGCCCTTTTCTGACAGAAATTATCACCTTTAGGACAGTTAGCGATTTGCAAGGAATGGAATTGACAACTGTGGAAGAACACTGATAGTTTGAACGTGTCAACAGAGAGCTTATCCAAGACATATCTACTCTTTCAATGGTGAAATGTTAACTAATGTCTAAAAATAGTGAGAAATAATAATCAACCGTGTTTCCTAACAGGATGCTTAAAAAAATTGAGTAGACAGTCCTGCCTAAATTTATTCTACAAAAAGAGAAAAGACACATCTGGGATGAGGCTGTGTGCTCCTCGGAGTGAGCACTAAGACCTTCCAAATGCATGATTTTCATACCATGTATTTTATTGATTTAAAATAATCAATTCTATCACTTTTTATCTCCAAGGAAATAACATAATTAGGTGGTACTCGATATAATTTGTGCTGAATCACAAGCACCACACTTATACTTCAATGTCCTAAAACTGATTATAAAATAATCGTTCTCTCTTATATTCTCTGTCTCAATTACACTATGGCACACGTGTTTGAGCACTCAACTTGCTATTTGAATTAATTTTTTGAATTATTTTACACTCATGCTCTTATACAGAATCCTGGGGCAAAAAGATATTACTATGATCTGGGAAATGATCTTTTATTATTTAACTGCCACACATTGACGGCCGTTATCGCAAACACACATACTCGAGTAATTAATTAGATGAGATTGTGGCTATTTTGTCGTTATTAATTTTTTAGACTCTTTTATCTTTCATTAATTCAGTCTTGACAAAAAAAGGTAGAACATCGCAACAACATCCCCAAATAGGCTATGTTGAATGAGGTGATTTCATAAGAAAGTGAATAAAAAAACGTTGAGAACGATAATTATATTTTCAAGTTGATTTGTAAGCTAAAAGTGTAAATTTGAAACCTGAATATTCTTTTAACTAAGTCTATTTCATTATGACAAAAAATAATGAGAATTTCGGTGAATAAATAAGTTTATATGTTTATAAATATTTATAATACCAAATATTAGTCTCTTAAAATACATGCAAAGAAAAAGAAATCTCACTCTATCTCTCAGCATGTTTTGTCTTCTAACTACTTTAAAACAGGATGGCGAGACTATACAATCATTTCTTATTCTTCTTCTTTTTCTCTTTTTTCTTCACTGGATCAAGAAGATCACAGATCATTTTTTTTTCACACAACGCGTGATATGAGAGCTATAAACAGAGTGTTAGGGAAAATTGCTAATCATCTACTTAATTCATATTAATATAAGAATAATATATTATATAACAAGGTTACCGTTGCTAATGATAGTTTTTAAGATGGTCAATAATCAAGTAAAATGTTATCATTTTTTACTAATTTTAATATACTTTTTAACCCAAATTTTTTAAGAATCATAATTTTTAAAGACTATTAAACGCATATAAAATGTGTAATTAAAAAGTACTAATTTTATGACATCTATTTGACAATTTTATTCAAGATTGATTAAACGCCTTTTTTTCATATATATCTTATTTTGTGTTTGGATTTTTGAATCATCGAGGGCAAGTATACATCAATTTTCTTAATGCCATTAAAAAAAAAAAAAAAAAACACAGCTTACATTACACTTTTTTTTTTCTCT